CGATTTCTCAGGTTTAATTAAATATGTTTTTATACAATTAAAACATTCGATTGAACGAAAAAGGTAGTACCACTAAAATACTATTCGATTATTATATCGATTTATTAATCAAAAGAATTTACTGCACGCGATTGAACGCTTTTCCACACGCGATCGCCTAAATGAAAATTCGTATGAGGAAAAATTGTGGAAAACGATGATAAAGATTGGCTTATAAATAAACTGGGAAAGGAAGGAAAATCGTTGAGGGATTTTCGAACCCGCAGCAAAAAAAGGGTGATCAAAGCTCAGGAGCTGGTTCTTACGAGCTTTGGTATCGAATACACGATTTACAAAAGGAAACCGACGTACGCTGATCGTAGTGTGGGTATGTTGGAAATTCAGCCAGCTGTGTCGAATTCGTTGAATTTTCCTACATGGCCCGCGTCTCGCGCTTCAGTTCTCTACCATAATTAATAGTAAGTACCCATCGCGTGGGTTAATCGATTAGGCAACGCGACGGATAGTTGCCCGTCTAAATCGCTGAATCAATTCTCTCGTATTATCCAGCTTATTATCTGTTTTGTGGACAGTTCTTCATTTCATAAATAATGAAGTGAACTTCAACTGGAGGAGTTATAAATATCGATTTCTCAGGTTTAATTAAATATGTTTTTATACAATTAAAACATTCGATTGAACGACAAAGGTAGTATCACTAAAATACTATTCGATTATTATGGATTCGCAAATGTTTTATTTAATTTTTTTCAATCCAGACAATTTCTCTGCTTGTTAATATGAAAGATTTGTGGGTCGTGTACACTCGAGCGAGCAAATATGTGATACGGAAACGCGTCGATTTTGCATTTCGAGACCCGGGCAAAGAGAGGGAAAGAAACTTTTATATGAAATCGTGCGGATTTCAGGTTTGATCCTTGTGCCGTGATTTTCTTTTGCTCTTTCCGCTCAGATCTACGAAAATATGAGAATCGCTCGAAGAACGGCGTATGTGTGTGCATAAGCGACGATGACGGGAGTAGAAATCGTCGAACAATATTAGAATTCGTTCGATTCGCCGGTACGGTTTGTCCTCTTTTAATCTCGCCTTCGAAAAAAATTCAGCAGAAATTATTCCGCTAGCCAATACGGGTCCCCCGTCCTGCCCTTTTTCAATCTATCATTTTCACGAAAGAATGTCTAACACTGTGAGGGGAAAAATTATAATCCAACGAAGGATTGCTTCGCAATTTTTGTTCAATATAACTAATAATACAAGTTTTTTGCTTGTAATTATTTTTATTAAATTAAAATCGGATTAATGTGTCACTTCGTAATTAATCAACTATAAAGAGGATTTCTGCACGAAGTTAATAATCAATTTCAATTTTATTCGACGCACGTTTTCTAAGCCAAAAAGGGTATTTGTATTATTATTCGATGTTTGTTTGCAAGTAAAACGCGTACGCGAGAAATGTGTTTGGAAAAGTGAATGCGCTCGCAGCGCTGATCTTATTAGCTGCATCCGAGCGAAGAGACAAACACTGTCCGCAACATTGCCTCCGCATCTACAAGTGGCTCGAATCCGACTATAATTCCGGTGCACCGTAGCGTGCACTGGAACCAGAATGCTTGGCCTCTGACCTAGATTTTCCAAAGTGAATTCTACACCGAGCTACTGGACTTTCCTCAAAAGTAGAATACTCGTGTTTTGTTGAATTCATCTGCTTAATCAAATGCAAAAAGAGAAGCATGTCAAGTGTTGAGAAATATTATACAAATCTGTAATCACTGTACGAATTTTTTGTTGATGGGAACTGTGTTAACATAGAAACGTTTATTATATTTATAAAATAGATTTTATGTAAGTAGCGCCCTTATCACAATTTTGCCTAAATTATGAATTCATTTATAATAATTCTTTATAAAAATCAAAACGATGTGTGAAGCATGTAAAAGAAATTGCGACAAGACATGTCTTCAGCTCGTTCCTTTCTTTGTCTTGTAGAAAGAGCAACTGGGAACACATTAGGATATTTATAAATAATATTTCAAGTACTTCCCATAAAGTAGCATTTAATTCTTCCACCAGAAAATGTCTAAATTGCAAATAACTAAGAACGGTTGAAAGAACAAATATAGTTCTTTTTCAGGGAATAGGGAACGAGTTAAGGGATTCGCCGCGGTAGTAGTACAGTTTCCTGGTTAAGAACCGTTAAACAGTCAGGACAGTCGTGTCACAGGAGGCGAAGAGAAGCTGTAATACGAGAGCTCTCGACGTACTCCATTATTCACCACTTGAACGTAATATTTGCGGTGTGATATGGTTTCAGGATCCAATCCCACGTCGTAGATAAGCAGTCGGTGCTTCTAGCACTTGCCATCTGCGATCCCTACCCATTTTCCAGATGCGCATCAGTTCTAACAGATTTCCGTTCCCATAGTATATACTGGATAACGCTTTCCCCGTTTAAGTACTTCCTGGGACGTAACCCTCCTGCGCCTATCCTCACGGATTCCAGCGACCATAATAACATGATTCGATTCACGGTGACGAAGTGAAAACGGATGTACGAGTCAGACGCGTCTGCAGTCTTCCTCCAGGTCTTCTGCTTTAACTCTGTTTAACGTGATTCACTGATCAACGTCGTTTAAACATGCTCTAATACTATCTACCATTTTCGATCCTAATTCTTTTTATATATCCTTGTAAACATTAATTGTATCACGCTACAGATTGGTGCAAATCACATTTGGAAAATTGCCATCAGTGTCAATTTTTATTTATTTGTAATAATTAATTTATTCGAATTCGATTAATTTATTTATTCGAAGTTTATGTCGTATTTTTTTTTGTTCTGCTGATTACATAAATTCACTGCGATAATGTGTCAATAGGATCAAAAGGTTTAAAGCAATTAAGTGAATTATGAAGAAAACACATTGAAAAGTTTGATTTTAAACAACATTTATCTATTTTATTCAACAATGCAAAAGTCGATTAAGTATACTTTACGTGAATACTGTATATTGAATACTTATATTTGAAATTCATTTGGGAAACGCTCGTCGAAGTTATATCACGTTTTCCCTGTGCGGTGGCATACCATGAAAATATTATCGGGTTTCGATACACGGATAAGTTACGACGCTGTTTGACGATTGTCTCTTACCGCGTAGCTGCATTTCGATTCAATGCCGTTGACGCGATTTTTATGGCCGATGTATTTATACGCGATTGGGTGTGCAACATTTGAAGCATCGAGGAAACAGGTGTAAAGATTGAATACGAAATACTTCCATTCGAGAATGAACGATTCAATTTTCACTTTCTTTTTTATACAGTGAATTCCAATGACAGTGAACGTATTTTGCCATTCACGTCTTTCATTCTCCTTTGCTATAATAAAATATGTATCGCATTTTGTCCATGCCTTCAATTTATGGATTCGTGAAATAAAATTCAAATCTTTTATTTGAAATACTTCAAACAATTTATTTAAAAATGGATAGAAAACAATTAAAATTATATAGGAAATAAACAAGATTAAAGACATGTATTACTGAAATACGAGGGTCACAGCTGGTTACAAATTTGCTATAATTAAGTGTCGGATACTTTTCTTTCTAACGATCTCGTTAGACGGCATTAACAGAAGTTCGCGGAACCATGGCGCGGACTCGTCGTATGAAATTGTGGCGGCGAGTCATAGAAACCGCTAATAAATCATCTTAAATCGTCAATTTCCGAGGAGAAGCTTCTAGTTTCGCAACTCCCCTACTTCCCTTCGTGCCGCAGCAGCCGCCGCCGAGTTTTCGCCTGAATTAACCAAGAATTATGTTCTTGTTTATCATAAGTTTGCGACTGAGAAATTTACTACCCGACCCTTTCACGCCGCGGTATCAGACGGTGGATCAGGAAGCAGAAGAGAAGCCGGAGATGTAAGCTTCCAATTTATAATAAACGAAATAAAGGAAGAAACAATTAATTTCAATTTCGCCTTTAGTATTCGAAGGATTTAACAAAAATTGTAATGTTCCGATCCAATACAATTTTCATTAATTCCAATTCCAATTAATTCCAATTAATTAAATTTCGAAAAACATGCATTTTTTAATGACAGGAAAACAATTGATAAGTTCGACGATTTATTTTTCGTACCACAATTAAAAGTGGAGAATTGCGGCAAGTATAATTGCGTTCCATCTCGTATAAAAAGTTAGAACAATAGGATTGTTAAATAATTCCACGGCTTCAATGATACGCGCGGGATCCGACGAGTTTCGGTCTGGGTAAAAAATTATTTCGTATTCCAGTGGACGCCGCGCGTTTTTTCGCGATTCTTCCTCGTTTCGGATTTTTCGTCCCATATCTCTCCGCGGCTCGCGCACAGCTATATTTATAGCTTTGGCGACGATAACAGAGAAATATCGGAACGTTCACGTACCGACTCATTCAAGCCGAACCGGCTTTCCACTTTGAAGTTAGTTATTACTAATTACAACGAAATTTCTAATCTGCAAAATATTTTAAGTGTGTAATGCATTGAAGGAAAGATTTTTTACATTTTTATCGAAGCATTTAAAAGTTTGTAAGGTATTTTTTATAAATATCTCTCAATTGATTTGAAATAAGATTTTATCAATTCATTTTTACATAAATATCTAGGAATATAAATTCTAACATTTTATTAGGTTCATGAAATTCTGTTTAATTCTTAAATTTGTTTCCGGAATAAAAACATGATTAAATTCCAATCCGTGTACAGATATCAGATACATCACGCTAAACTGACAAACTACGTTTCAATAACTAACAACTAACAGAAAAGAATATCGTCCGATTGTATAACGGGTCACGTATCGATGCGCGAAATCGTTCGAACGCAACGAGAGAAACTTTTATCCGTTTTGCAAACAGCAAGGCGACAAACACTGAACGGACAAACAACGGGACGAACGAACGCGTTGCGGAGAGCGAGGGAGAGCGCAGTCAATTGAACGGGCGTTACGTTGTTTCAGGGAGCGGCGAGCCGTGGCTGAAGAGCGAAAAGCACGCCGAGCTCGGGACCGAAGTGCAGCTGCCGTGCGTGTTGAAATCGCCCCAATGCGAGGGACTTCACAGCATCAAATGGTATCGCGGGACGACGCGTATCTTCATTTTCAGCGAGGACGCCGGCATTACGCGCGGCAACAACGACATCGCCGTCAGGTAAAACCAGTGCGCACCTGTATCTCAGTTTTATCGTCGTGCCCCGAACAAGAGTTCCGTGCCAAACGAGCCTCGTTACGTTCCCCATTCCCTCCTCGGTCTCCTCTTCCGTCACCGATTAAACCCTCTCGTCCGTTTTCACGGCTCTGTTCTCGAGAATTTTTATACCACCTCCGCATTCTCTTTTTTCCTCTATACATCTGTCACGGATGAAGGAGTTCCGCTTTGACTTTTATTTAGTACACGAGCTTTTATTTTCAACCCTTAATCAAGCCGTCCCGTCTCTTGTTAATTAATGCTTCTGGAGATTGTTGTTTGTTAATACTTGCTAATAACTTGCTGTTACGCTGACCCGTACACTACGATGCACTCTCGAGCATTATGATTACGAACAAGCTGAATTAATAATCATGTTTACTCAGTTTGTTGGATTGATATTAACCTACCGTACGCGTACGTCACCCGAGTGCAAGTTTCGTATGTATGCACGCGATGAAATGAGTAAACAGCGCTAGAGTGGAAACTAATAACTGGCAACAAAACTAGAGAATTAATATTTATTTGTTTAATCAAACGTTTGTATGCAACTTTCAAATTTATTGAAACGCCACTCTTCTCGAGTTCTAAATCGATTTTTGTAAAGCGCCAAGTTCCCGATGCAATATTCTCGTTATTTGCGTCGGACGTGAGCACACGGAGAGCGTTAAATTCGTTTCGCCATCGCGAACAGACCCGGGCGACCTTTAACAAGAAAAATTCGCTTTTTAATTCACTTAAACGCGAGCCATGGACCACAAAGAATCGCCCTCGTTCCGCTTGGCCGAAACGAAAGGAGGGCCGGTGAGAGAAAAGGTGGCTCCATCGCGGAACCGGAAAAATGAATATTACATCGGAGGGATTAAAGCGGTAGAATTATTATTGCCGTTCGCGCGCCTGCCGCTCTAAAAGCTTCCGAGAGGGTAATTCCGAAGATAAGGAACAGTTAGTAATCCGGTATTAGGCGAGTAGCTAGAAAGTAGGCCAATCTTCTGTTCCAATGTCCTCAATTTTTTTCTTAAATGTCTGCCTTGACCAGATACGAATCTTAGATCCAAGGAAATTGTCAATCGACTTGAAGTTGTTGTCTGCAACAATAAATCCTTTAATCAATTGCACTATCTTCCATTATAGCATCCGAGGGTGAATTAAAAATTTCAACCGAGCTGTATTATTATTTGTTCAAGTGAAACACTCGGAATAGCGAACAATGTTCGACATCGGATTCGAATTAGAATTTTATTCCAATTGAAGCCGTGTATCCATTCCTGTTGCCAGGATTTATTGGTCAGATAGAATCGTTTGGCCCAGTTCTGATCCGTGATCAGCTCGGGGGAAAAGTTTATTACCCTATTTGCCCGGTCTCGTCCGGTCGTTGACAATTTTTCGCGGTTACCTCGATTGCCGCTGAGTCGTGAGAAACGCGGCGAAAATTCTCACGTGGCACTCCGATAATAGCCCTCGGTGTAATTGAAAACGTTAGCTCGCCGATGGGACAAGCACTTATCGCGCGACATTGCAACCGGAGAATATTGCCGGAGGCGAGAGAAAAAAACCGAAGGGAGGAACGAAAATAGTGTGGCAAGGTAGAGCGCGAGGAGAGGAGGTTTATGTTCATTTACATTTGGGAACTTTTATCGCCACATCCGGCGAACGGTTCTCGCGAACTTTTCTCATTTACCGCCGTCCGATTTAATCGGTTGCTTTCTGTCTCAACCGTTCCTCCTTTTCTATTTTGCCCAGCTTTTTTTTCGAGGAATAGTTTCCGTCGCGATTTTATAAGAACGGGTGATCCTGACAACGATTTAAGTAAACCATGATTGGTTCGCTGTTTAAAAGTACTTCTGAAAACTCCGGTTCTGTGTTAGCTCTCAGAGTGAAAGTATTACTTCCACCGTCCACTGGTTTCGTATTTTTATTCCTCTGCTTTCATTCCATTCCTTTCTATTCATAATATGAGAATTATTTCCAAATGAAAATGAATGAAGAAAAAAGCATACAACGTGTGAAAGTGCATCAAAAGATTTTATTAATATTATTTTCAATTTATTAAATTTATACAAAAATTGTTGTAAAAAATATTTCTTACAAGAGAACATGCTTGCTGGATTTTTCGCAATCAACGTGAAAATGTTGATTCCAGCGTTTCATTCGAAGCAACCACGAAGATCATTGATACCAGCGTGAATTACTTCCCGGAGAGACACGGCCCGGGTGCATTATGCACTGAAAGAGGTCGTAGCGCATTCCTTATCGCTGTCCGCATTATTTTCCATGTTCTTTAATTCTCTACCCCTCAAATCCACCTGTGTATCTGGTTATCTCGTTTCGCGTCGCCCCGTTTACCCCTCTTTACTGTCAAGCTTATCGTGTTCCTTTCCACTGTATCTGTCTGGCTACCGTATTCCGTTTCTTTGTGCGTCCATCTCCGTCGTTCCGCCATCTGTTTTCCTTATTTTCTGTCCCCCCGCCGCGCCCCGAACTTCCCGTTGAAAGGCGCGATAGGGGAAGCGATTACGGCAAAAGGAGAGAAAATTACCTGGAATCTACGACCACCTTCCAAGTATTTGCCTAGCGTTGCACTATTTCTTATGAATTCCGACATGAATTTCTCTGCCAGGAAGGAACTTACCGACGTCACGCGAATATGAACTTTCTCGCCTTCTCCGTTTTTAACTCCAGGGACATTTTATTATTAGAAGTTCGCCATTCCTGAATTTCAGATTAAACAAGTCTATATCGAACAAGGATTGCAAATTAGAAATTCTTAAAGTCATTATTTGTTATTCTTAAAGAAATCATCAAACTAATTGTTGGAAAGTTAAAAAAGTTAACAATTCGTATAGAAAATCGCGGAGATTGTTTAAAGGGTCATTTGAATATCATTCGCCGGGCTCGTTCATTATTCTGTGAACCGGTTCATAATTGAAAGATTATATAGAAAATTGACGTCGTCCAACTTTGGTGGCTCATGATCATGACACGTATCGCCGGAGGGTTAAGAAGTCGTTTCATTTTCAATGTAATTCCTGGTCCTGCCAGGTATTATCCCGGCTCTGTTCCCGTCCCGAGCCCATTAGATTGCGAGTTCGGATTACGCGTCGCGGGTATTTAAGGCGGAGCCGGACTCCGCCTTAAGTCCCGGAACGATGACGTCGGAAACAATAAAACCGGTGAATGGCGTCTGTCCCTTCTTCCGGGATTTTCGCAATCGCCAACTTTGATAACGTGGGTGAAAGCCTGACCCCGGAGTGGCAACGTGCCCACTTTAACCGGCTTTACGGTAACGTTCAAAGGTTTTAGGACATTTTCTCCGCTACCCGAGCACTGTGGGAATTTTGCAACAGGACTATATAGAGAACAGATTAATAATTTTATACGGTCTCTCGTGTTTCAACCGGTAAATCGATCTCGGTCAATAAGAGAAATAAATGACGCTGGAATGTTGGGACTCTTTAGTATTTAAAAAAGTCTCACAAGGAGACCTACGCAAGTGCCTCACTTTATTCTTGATGAAACTTTGCAGCCGCGTGAAGCATAAGAAAATATTTGACAGATTTTATTTTATTTTATTCTATAAAACGTTCTACCCTTCAACCCTTCTACAAAATTACATCAAAATCGATATGAGACACTTGGATAGATTCACTCGTCAGAAATCTTCAAGGCTTGTAAATTTAATTTCTTGCTCATTTACATAGAATTATTCCACGTGTCGTTAAAGATCTGAAAATCATACATGTGTTATTGTACACATTTATTAATTAGAATTTTCAAGACACACATCCTATTCTTCATTATCTTGAATCAGAGCTTCCCTCATTAATATTTGTGTTATTAACACAGAGGAACTTAGCCAATAACGCACGTACATATGTGCACAGTGCTTTTCCCATTCACGTGTTTACCATTGGTAACTCACTATTGCTTCTACTTAACCTAATGTTACCTCAACGTTACAGTGGTAGCAGGTCGTAATCCCCCTAGGTTTGATCATATGGTGTTCGTATTAGCAGTCACACGATATTAGACGTAATTGGATTGAGCACATACGATACTGTTTCGTGATTCATGGGATAAAGCAACATGAATAATTATTAGAAACATAAATTGAATCATCTTACCCTTGATATTATAATACAAGATACCAGACTAAAATAAATGATGCCTGAAACTTTAGGTATTAAAAGCTATACTAACTATTCATATATAATACTGAATAATAAATTCCCATGTTGTTCCACGTATTCAAATTTAAATTTACACAAAATGCAATATACGTACAAACGTCAGTCAAACAGGTCGAATTTAAAATTGAGAACAGGATATCAAATTGCAAATATTATGTAACATTCACTGCAAACATTGAATGGCTTTTATCGTTAAACTTTTCTCCAAAGCTTTGTAGTTTAGCAAATATTTAAACGATCCCCTATTTATTTTATGATAAACAAACGAGTTGAGCGACCGTTCATGTTTATTTAAATGCACGTTTATCAATGCAAATTAGCGCCTTCGTCCCGTATTATTCGCCGCTCTATCGTGAACCAACGAATCGTAAATTTTGCTACATTCTGCATCGCAGCCGACTGTAATCTGTTAACTCCTCTCCACAGGCCAAGTTCATTAAGCAATTTAAGAATGGATGAAAGGGACTTGTGTTCCTTTTGCAAACCATTGATCTTTGTAATTGAACGACGAATTAAAGATGTATCTAATTTTAAATAATGCAACAATTGATTAGTTTAACAA